ATGGTGGTGGACGGTGGTGGTAGTGAAGAGAAGTAGAAGAAAAAAATGCAGAAGATGTTAGAAGACATAGGTTAATGTCTTCTCCAATAAGATGACAGGAAGACTTTTTTGAGTAAAATGTCTTCCAAAAAACAAATAATCTGCAGAGCTCAACATCTGCACGCATCTGCGCGGCGCAGACAAAAGAGGCCAGAAGCTCTTCTGGCCAAAAAACAAACACCCCTTAGTAAATGTGTATTGTTACTCTTTATTGTTTCAAAATTTAGATCGTTATTCGTTTTGATTATGATATTGTTATGTCAATGCTTCTTCAGATTAAAATATCTCTTAAATATTCACTTCCACTTATGATTTTGGAAATTAGCACAAACACACTGCTTTTCTTTATTATTTTTCTTTTTTCTACTACTATTTTTATAAATGTTTTTTGATTTTTTTTTTTAAAATTATTGCTAAAATTTTTTTATAATCAAATTTTTTATATTTTCAACAAAAATCAATTAAATAACAAGAATTAACATACGTTTCATTTGTCTGAAATTAAACATTTTCATTTTTTGTCCAAAAGAGGTCTTTATTGGTTCATTTTCATGAACAAAAATTAATAAAATATTCTCTTTTTTCAATAAAGCTCATTTTTCATTTTATGTTCATTAATTTTATACCGTTTCAATTTCATGGAATTTAATTCCATCTAAATCAATTTCATAAAATTTTAACTTCTAATTCAATTTCATCAATTCTGTATATCAAATAAACCCTAAATGAAATTCAAACATTACCCCATTTATTATTCTCATATTATTGAGCAACTAATCTACATCTCATTATATGGGTGAATAAGTAAATGGCAATAAAATTTCTCACCAAAAAAGAAAGGAAATGTTGGGGCATTGCGAACCATCCCACACAAGTCGGGAAAAGAAATTGAGTCTAAATAAGAAGGTGTTTGGGAGTGATTAACTTATAAATAAAGTGATTTCCATAAAAGCTGAAAGCAGAAACCCCTCTTACCTGCTTCTCCGAAATGGTGTTCTATGTACAAAATAGTGGTTGTGAAAAACAGAAGCTCACATACCAAACAGAGTAAAATCACTTTTACTCAAAGTAGAAGCTAAATGATTAAAAACAACACACTGTCAAACACCTCTAAATACGGAGTATGTTGAATTCAACTTATTAATATGATTTTTTTTTTGTGGCTATTGACTCGAGTAGGACTCTTAGAGCATGTGCAATGTCAAGTAAGAAATTGCATGCCACACGATGACGTAAAGTATTTTAGCCAATCAAAATAAGTCCAGTCAGCGTATGGTACATGAGCGGAGTGACATGTTTTGCAGTGGCAAGTCACTCTTTTTTATCGTTTTTACACCTTTTTAATATATTTTAATTATTAAAAATTAATTTACTTACCTTTTTAAATAAAAATAATTGTAATCTTTTTTTGGCAATGTTAACATTTTGACATATTTTAATTAGTCCATGTATGTTTTTTTATTATAAGTTATTGCATTTTCTTGTAAAGATATTAATTGTACAAAGAGAAAATTAAATTTTTAAATTAAATTATATAATTTCACATAAAACATTAATGTTTAAAAATGAATCTTTTTTAGTCTCAAATAAATGTTAGATTGTTTTGAAAAAGAAAATAGATTGTAAAGAAAAAAAGAAAGACAACTAAAAAGGGTTAAGTTATTTTTAAAGAGTAAGATTAGAAAGTAGAAAAAATAAAAAATTTAAAAATGGAAAATAGTGTCTCTAATCCTTGTTACTTGCCTCTAACAAAAATTAAATAAAAAAAACTTCTTTCTTTTACAAAAAAAAATAAACAAAAAAACAAAAGATGGCTCGCACTTGCCATGACTTGCAAGTTGCCTTGCTATGGTTTGCCATTGAAAAAGAGGAATTTGGATGATGTGGCATGCGGCACGCCATGGAGACTTGTTGCTGACACTTTTAATAAAGAGTAATGTTAGAGTCACAAACAAATAGTTCACAAAATTCACAAATTTGCTTTTTTAACATTTTCTTAGAAATAAGATGCACTCAAATAATAAAAGATATTTTAATTTAATATCCACAAAAGACAAGTTTATGAAGTATATATGTTCGTGACTTTAGCATTTTCCTTTAATAAATTTTAGAGGTATGAAAAGATATGAATTTTGAAATATGGATAAATGAAATGTGTCTTGAAATAGGATGAAACAAAATTTTTTGTAGAAATTTAAAATCATGATTGAATTAGTGATGAACATAAATCACCACCAACAAAAGAAGTTGGCGGTGACAATGGTAGCTGGTGGCATATAATTTCTACGGTTGAGAGAAATATCAAACCCCATTATTGATATATTCCAAATTCGAAAAATATCAAAACTATCCAGTTGGAGAATGAAATCAAACTCAATATCTCATTTTGGTTTCATCAAACACCAAAAAAAGTTTTGACATCTGAAGATATTAAATTTCCTATCTCTTTTGCGAATCAAACACAACATAAATGTCACTTTAAAGACTTGGAAAGAAATTGTACTCTTTCCCTAACTGCTCAAATCTCTATTGATCACCAAACACCTCATAAATACTCCCTCCGCCTCAAAAAAATTACAACACTTGATTATTCTAAAATTATGAGAGTTATTGTTGAATCTCACATTTTAATGGATTATTTGATAAAATAAATTAGTTTGTCACCTCTTATTTTGTAGAACTTTTAACGTAGTTTTTTAATATGTAAGTTTTATTTTTTTTATTTTATACTCCTTCCGTGCACAAATAAATTTCTCGTTGCACGTTACGATGTTTGACTGAAGTTATTTTAAAATCATTTTATATGAAAAATGATGTCATGACTATATTATTTTATCAAATGAGTGACAAAAATAGGCCAACAAAGTGAATAAAGTTTGACCCTGTAAATAGTGAACGAGAAGTTTATTTGTCTACGGAGGGAGTACCAATCTTTATACTCCATCCGTCCCAAAAAATTCTTCACGTTTAAAAAAAAAATGGTGTCCCACAATTTCCTTCGCATTTCTATTAACAAACCATTTTTACCATTTACTTTATTCATACACTGTCTATCACATCATACATTTTTCCTACACATCACATGCTACTTTTATTCATTACATCAAAGGTAGTTTTGAAAAGTCAACACAAAATTATCACTTTAGTCAAATGGCAATATAAATTTAAGGGAGAAAGACCAAAATAGGATTAAAACATTGAAAATATACTAAAATAGGACTTTCATGTTTTTATTTCCGAAATAGGACTTAAAATAAATTTACATTACCAAACGTGGTCATCTACATTACCAAACATGGTCATGTACATTACCAAAAAGTATAGTCATGTGCACATGTACAGTGTCACATTGTAAAGTCTTATATCGAGAAAAAAACATAAAAATCATATTTTGATATTTTTCTCTATATTTTAGTCCTATTTAAAGTAATTTTCTAAAATTTAATGAACCAGGCAGGCTGCGAAACGACTCCCAACTCACGGGCCGTTCTGCTACCATTCATGTAAATGGGCCCAACAAAATAACTGCAAAGTTTAATGAATGCATACGCTCCCTTGCGTGTATATTGCCTGCTGCAATCAGTTACTGCTTTATGGGCTTCGTAATGGGCCCCTTGTTAGATCCATTGAGTTCCTTCTTCGTAGTTTCTGAGTGTCTTAATTATTATTTTTTGAAAACAAAATCAGGTGACAATTCACTAGACAAGAACAAGTGAAGTAATATATTCCCCTTCAAATCTCCAAGAGATGACACCGTCCGCTAGCAAGAGCATGGCATCAACATTGAAATTACGTTTGATGGGTGTTGCATAGTTGGCAATTGTGGGTTGTCTCAATGGGGTAAAAGCGTTCCAAAAAACGTTTTCTGGGCTTTCAACAACTTTTGTTTTTATATGCTTTTTTCATTTGTCATTTCATAGAATAAAATATTTTCGTCAAAATTTATTTTGTATAACTTTAATTTAGTTTTAAATATATAAGTAAGTTGTATTTAATAGTTATAGACCAATTTGTATATGGGGTAGACTATTCTTACAACAATACATATCTATAACAATTCTACAATAATATTTTATTGGGATAGCTAAGTTGCCCCATTTGTGAAATTAATGATTTTTGACTTTCTAACATCCTCTAAACCCCATGTCCCTTATTAAGGGAGGGAGGGATGGAGGAGCGTGGTTGGAGGGTTAGTGTGTGTTGATGGTAAGAATCACCAGTTTCATGAATGAAGCACGCTAGCTACACTAATTTAATAGTTGTGTTTTTTTGTGTGGTAAGTTTATCTTTCTTTTTATGTATACAATCATTTTAAAAAGATGTTAAATTATGAGTACATGTACAAAACAGAAAATGTTTTTGACAAAAGGAATATACTTTATAATATTATATTCTTGATATCACGATGAATTAAAGCCTATCATTTATAATTTGTGCTCAGAGCTAATTTGACCAAGAGAACAAATTATAATTTTTTTAAAAGACAAGGGTGCAAATTCAAAAAAAAACATCTTAGTCGCATTTAATGATTTAGCGAATTTGGACATTACCAGAACTAAAGAATTACAGTATGTAATTTCCTTCAAAAAATTTTAACGTATATTTTTTTGGTATATTTTTAAAATATATTTCTTGGTATAAGTGTAGCATGGTTGTATTTCCATACCAATATCATTAAATAGATAAGTTTTTACATGTTTTTCGAAAACCAAAGAGTTTTTAAGTGCATCTTCCTTTGCTTGTGGTGAACCATGGTGGATCAGGGCACCTGTTGTGTGAACTTATGATTAACAATGGTCGTACCTAAATCTTCTTTGTTGTCTTCTAATCAAATTTAAAATTGTTTGTTGCAACTAGTTTGGTAGTATAAGAGGGAAAAAATAAAAATACTTACAGTGAAAAATAAAAATAAAATCTTCATATTTTTTTATTTACAATAGAACTTACAAAGAAGTACGGAGTAGTTTAGAAAAATTTAATTTTTCACTTTTAGAAAAGAAATGGTGACCCTTGTAATATCTCAAGTAGGTAAGAAATTAGACTAAACAAAGGAAGAGATATTAGGAACGAAGGAAAACCACTTGAATCCGCAGCTCCATTTGTCCGGCAACGAGGGGCACCTGGACAGCCAATGCCATGTCTTCCTCGAAACCTTAAAGTACAGAATCTCCGGCCACGTGTAGCAGCACACGCACACCACTCCCTCCTGCCAGAAACAGTACACGTGCTCGTAGTTGTGGTAACAAACCGACCCCAACTTCCGGCCCATCATCCCCGGCACATCCTCCAGCCCCACCCACGACCCGCCGCCGTCGCCGTCGCCGTCGCCTTCCTTCCTCTCCCACAGCCTCACCTTCCTCGAGATCCCGTCCGTCCCCACGCCGCCGATCATGTACATCTTCCCGGCGCCGTCGCTGACCAGGCGGGCGAACGTCAGGTCCTCCGCGGGCAGGTCCATCCCCGACCTCCGCCACTCCCCGGCGGCGAGGTCGAAGAGGAAGACGCGGATCGGTTCCGGCGTGACGAAGTAGAGGGAGCCGCGGTGGAGGACTCCCTCCTGGTGGTGGTTGATGCAGTTGCTGAGGGTGGGCTTGAAGTCCGGGAACTTCCGCCACGACCGGCGGGAGGAGTCGTAGAGGAAGGTTGACTTCCACGGGGAGCGGGAAGAGTCGATGACGAAGATGCTGTAGTTCCCGGCGGGGGCGGGGACGAGGGTGAGAGAGTCCGGGTGGAAGGGCAGAATGGGGAATTCGACGATCCGGGAGGTGTTGGTGAGGAGATTTGAGACGAGGAAGGAGTCGTCGGAGTTGGGGAGGGAGAAGCAGAGGAGGCCGGCGGCGGAGGAGAGGAGAACAGGGGAGGGGAGGGTGAGGGAGCCCCAGCGGTCGTGGGCGGGGTCGAAGAGAGGGTATTTTCGGGAAAATTGGGGGTGGGAGAGCAGGAAGAAAGAGGGGAAAGAAGGAGATGAGGGAGATGAAGAGAAATTGGTCAAGAAAGGAGGAGAGGAGAGGAGGGAGTGGAAGTGTTTGCAGGTGGATCTGAAGCTCAATAAGGTCTTCAATGGAAGGAAGGAAAACACTCGTTCGATCAGGTCTTTGGGCATCAGACTCCATATCTTTGGATCCATCACTATCTTATCTCCGCCTGCCATCTCTATCTTCTTCTTTTCTCTGTGTTCATATATATACTCCATGGATGCGTGTAAATGGTGTAATATAATACTCCCACTGTAGACAGCTTTCTTTGAACGCGCACAAATCACTTTTATAAAGGAAACGCGCTTATAAGGCCACTCGGAATGCATCTAACGCCCAATAGCCTTATTGCATTTTTAACGCCATAGGGGCTTCTTCGGAGCGTGATATGCATTGCGTTAAATTTGTAATGTGCCTTTTGCCCAATTTTTTTCAAATTAAAAAAAACTCTTCCTCTAAACACCCACAAAATATTTTCATCTTCAATTTTTTTTAAAATAAAACTCACAAACAAAATCTTTCTTCTTTATTTTTTTTAAATTAAACACCCACAAAATCTTTTCCTCTATCTTCTTCAAATTAAAAAAAAATATTCAATTTTTTTCATTTTTTAACATGAATCTCTTCATTTTTGATGTTCTTTTGTCCGGTCTCGAGTCAAACAACCAAACGAATATAATTTTCTTTCGAGAGCAGACATAACGAGATCAAAGCTAAATTTAATTTGTTTTAATTTTTTAATTAAATGTTCTTTTTTATTGAATTTAATTATTTTCATTTAATGAATGTATTTTTTTATTATTTGTGTTTTAATATAATTAAATAATAAATTAATTACATTTTATTAATTTAATTTTAGAAGATGTATATTTAAAAATGTAAAAAATGAAGGTTTGAAGCCCCAGTTTGAAGCCCCGGGGCTTCAAACCTATTTCCAGCGAATTTTGGGTGTAAGTTAAAGCTAACGTGGCAGAGAGAGAAAGTTTGAATTCCCAGTTTGAAGCCCCGGGGCTTCAAACGTATTTCTAGTGCTCTAAAGGATTGGGCTTAATACTTCCTTCTTGCCATCAAAATGTTTCTATTTTAAATTTTAAGAAATTTAAAAGTGATATTTTTGTGTTTACTTTCCAAAAATTTGTCCACTTTCATCTTTACAGATCATCCAATTCACTTCTTTAATCCATTTTATCTTGTAAGTTGTATATTAAAAAATTATAGAAATTATATATTAATAATCTATATGTTAAGATAAATCAAACAAGATCACACATGACTATATTTAGGCTTACACATTGAGAGAATTTGATGAGTCAAAGTGTTTAGATGAACAGTTCGAAAAATCAAAAGTGGACAAAAACTAGAGGACGAAGGGAGTAAGTAAAAATAGGATGTGATAGATAAATTATTAGTAAAAAATATGACGTGATGTTACATTAATAATTAGTATGAATAAAAGTAAATTTTTAATAGAAAAGACATAGAGTTAATGGAACAAAAAAAGAATGAATTTTTTAGACGAAGGAAATATTAAATTGGGTAACAAACAAAAAAATGCTAGGGTGGCCCTCATGGATGCTACCATGTGTATGGGAACGGAGTCTAAAGAGAAAAAAAATTCTTCGATCTTTTACTTAAGTTGAGGAAAATATTTCTTTTGAAAATTATTTTTGTTCTACTAATGTGTCCAAAAACATGAAAATGGAATAAAAAAAATTTCTGAAAAATATTTTTTTCCCTGACCAAACACGCCATTCATTTATTTTTGCTGTTTCCGGCGGGATCGCTCGCTCGCGAGATTCAAAGCAGTGTTCATAGTCCAACCTATGGAACTCCATCATCGTCTCCGACAGCCAGTTTGCCGGTGGTGGCCACTCTCCTCGTTCGCGGGCCACCCCTCCTTCCAGCAGCCGCTCTCCCTGACCACCGCCTCCTTCCAACAACCACCGCCACATCAAATTTTTCGGGCGCGACAATACTCTTTACTGCTCTCGTCAATGTTAAAGATGGATTGATTTGTTAACCAACGACCTTTTTATCTATAAGGCTATCTAATGAATTTTGGGCGATGAGTAAAATTGTCCATCTATCACAGGCTACCTTCACGCTTTGAATCCCTTTGATTTTATAGACAAATTAAGAAAAACTAAAAAATATTTTTGACTTTCCATATTGTTTTGGATTATTGCAAAAAGTAAAATAAAGTATATTTATAGATAGTAATTAATGAATAAATGTGAAAATAGTAATATAATTTAAAGAAAAAACATTTACCAAATAAGAGATAAAAAGAGTTAATTTTCAGACTGAAAAATAAAGTGTAGAAAGATAAATTAACATATGCAGTAATTGTATTCCAGTGTTGTTGCTATAAATCAAACTTGACTCTTATCTGTTCAACATGTTTTGCTTTTCCAGTTGAATTACGCTCGCGACACAAATCTCTTTTGTGTAGTGCGGCATGGCTGCGTAATAAAGTGCAATGTTTAATGCTATTTAGAATCGGCCCGGTTCTAGTGACATCGGAGAACGGTGCCACTAGCAGTGCCACTGGGTTTTTGGGGCACCTCCGGTGCTCCGTTCGTAAAATTGACGGTTCGCACCCCTCTAACCCACTCCCTAAACTCCCCACCCTACCCCACCCCTGCACCCCCACCCCAATCCCGCCGTAACCCCCCCACAAAATGTGTGGCTATTATGCATTGTATAATAGCCACACATTTTGTCATAGCCACACATTTTGTGGGGGGAGGGGGAGGGAGTTACGGCGGGGTTGGGGTGGATGTAGGGTGGGGAGTTTAGGGGGTGTGTTAGGGGGGTAGAAACCGTCAATTTTACGAACAGAGCACCAGAGGTGCCCAAAAACCCAGTGGCACCGCTAGTGGCACTGTTCTCCGGTGTCACTAGAACCGGGCCGATTTAGAGTAGAATAAAACTATATTATCCCACGTTTGCCCCGGAGATGTATACTACTTTGTTTTTGTTCAAATATTGTGTTTAAATGAAATACAAACACTTGTGTATCCATGACACAACAATGCTACTCAATCAACATTCCCTTTTCTTTAACTTATTCTAAAGATGTGTTAGACGTACACTAAAGTTTTGATGATATTTGACACCAAAATTCTCATATGAATCATTCAAATTCGTACGAAGGACGGAATACAATAATGGATTTTTAAAATTCTCTATTAATTGTTAATTAATACTTAATAATTTTCCCCAATACTAAAAATTTCACGTATTTAATACACAAGCTAAGTTTGTAGCGATGTGATAACATCATAAAAATGTACCAAGAATCATTCGTAACAACAATTTCATTTGTTAAGTTTTTCTTATATTACTTCATTCGTCCAAGTTAAATCGTCTGTTATTTTTTACGAGTTTTGACTGATTTTTTTAAATTTATTTATTTGAAAATTGATGTAAGATTTAAAAATAAAACGTATATATTAAAGAATTACATCAAAATTTTGAAAAAATTAGAAGTGATATGATCGTATTATATTTTCAAATAAAGATAAAAAACATAATTAAACTTTGATACACACAACTTAAATAAAAGGGAGAGAGTGATACTTAAATGTGACATAAAAAGGAAAAATTTTTAACGGGGTTAGTGCGCCGTCTATCTGATCCACAATTCATCTGATGATTAACGGAGAGATCGATCATCGATCGCTATCGACGATATTTTATCCGAGTAGATCGATCGGTTGTTTTTTATCCGATAAACGATCGTCGATTCGTCGGTAACGGTGAGCGGGCATCAGATCCAAGTCCTAACTAACTCATCATCTCTCTAGTCCGGAGCTTCACCGCCTTCGTCGGCAGCTATCAGCGCCTTCTCCGGTGCCTATCCCGACTTCTAGAATCCCTTCGATTTCTCCACCAGGTTTGCCCGGCCCGTGCTTCATAGCTGATCTCGAGTATCTTGAAATGTTTTTTTTTATAGTTTGAATTTTAAAAAAATTGGGTTTCATGTCGGTGACTGGATTTCATTTTCGTCCATGAAGATGGTTCTTGAATGTTATCTTGGAAGGATGCTGTGATGGGTGCTTTCAAGCACAGCAGTGAATTCTTCCCCGAGAGAAGAGGAGGTATAGCTGTGGTTGTGCCCTCGAAGTCTCTGGATCTTCGTAGAGCTCGAAGGCTCGGTCGGATTTCTAAACGAAGCTTATTTCTTTGGGGGATTCTACTTGCTGTGTTGTTCTCCATCATTTTGATAGCTTTTGGTTTGGAGATGCATTCCCATGGTGAGTGGGAATTTATCCCAGTTGTTACTCCTATAAATGCACTCAGATACATTCGCCCTTCTAAGAAATTAATGTTTGGAATGCTTAAATTCTTCAACACCAGTTGTCAAGTGAGTCTTGATAGTTGTTGTTATCTTGGACCCTTAGCCACACATGATTTTATCGAATGATTTACAGTTGTTTTGTGTTTGTTATCAAGTCCGTATAATTAATGGTTATTCACCAAATAGCTCCTATATTTGTAACTTATGTCATCTAAATCGTTCATGTCTTTGCAAGGGGTTTTTCCTGTTTTTAGTTTGAAACTATGATGCAATTATTGTAATTTTAGAGGCAACCGAGATCCAGCTTCTTATTTTTCTCATAATTCGCTGATTCTCATCATGATCATCAACGCCTTAATCCCATCTAGTTTTGGTTGGTGGCGTTCGATATATAATGCGAATTAATTTTTAAGTTTTTGTTAGAATAAATTAATGGGAAAAATTGTTGTGTAAATTCACGGGAAAAAAACATAGCGACGATGTTTTATGCCGGATGCCCTTTATGTTGCATCCTCTTAAATGAGTTAAAATTATAAAAAAGTGATCATGTTATTTTCACAAGCATGAAAATTATCTTGACCCACAGATGAGATGACATAATTTCTATGGTCATTTCATTAATAAATAGGATTTGGCATGCTTTTAGGAGCATTAATATATCAATGCATGCCTTTTGCCAATAATTCAGGTGTTTTACCAGACGGCCATCTATCTTTGGTGGAAGTGCATGAAGGAATTTCCAGAATCAATGCTTCAGAGCAAACGAGGAAGAAACCTCGCAGGCAAAGTAAGATTGAATCTACTGCCTTTCATACGATTCTTATATACTCCATATTAGATTGATGGCTTTATTGCCAAAGTATCTGCTAGCTAATAAGGATTCTTATGCAGTGCAATCGAGTGCACTTGCACGCTCTTATATGTTTATAAAGCTTTAAATTACATTATGAATGTTGTGATTCTGATCCAAACAATGCAATAAGAGCCACTTTAACTCTATTTTCCTCCGCTCGTAACCCTTTTCATTCAATGGCATTGCCCTAAGATCCTACTAAGTTAATAAAATTATAGGTGCCACTGCGTTTAAAAACCTACCTCCCCCATATATGTACTAAACAGAGAAGAAAACAACTTTTGTAGTAAGGAGTATCTATCATGGAACTGTAGACAAATCAAGGTTTGACTGCACTTTAATCTACACTAACCAATCATAGGCATATAGGAAATATAGTGCTCTTATAAAAAGAAAATGTTCCATTTACTGGGTATTGGTTAATCATATCAAACACTGCAGATTAAGAATTCAATGATCATTTGTTATCTGTTTTTTTAAAAATTTTCAATTTTAATAATTGAGCCTTACTGGATACTGATAAGATTAACTCTGCTTTTCATTTTTCAGAGTTTATCCCTTGTGGGGTACCATTGCGAGATTCCGTAGATTTTGTTATTGACCCCAATGAGTCAGTGAATTTCACTTACTTCACTTTGGACTACATTCAAAGAGAAGACATGACCTCTCATAGTGGTGCTTTAGATCTGAGATTTGGAGGACACCAAACCCTAGAAGAAAGAGAGAAATCATTTCTTGCCATCAACCAAACAATTCATTGTGGTTTTGTGAAGAGCGGTAATGGTTTTCCTAGCACCGGATTTGTTTTGGACGAGAACGACAAAAGATACATGAATACATGCAAAGTTGTTGTATCATCATGCATCTTTGGCAGCTCAGACTTTTTAAGAAGGCCAACCAGTAAACAGGTAATACTCCACGTGTTTTCTGAGAACCTACTTTTCCCAGGTTTTCCTGAATGACTTTTCTTCCTGCTCTGTGTTGCTATTTAAATGGCGTAGTCAACCCCAAAAGTTAACTCAAGAGGTTGAGGTACCCAAGCTATTAAATAGCAGCACAATATAAGGCTGCATTGCCGATGTGGGATGAACAAGTCAACACGCCCCCCTCACACGAGGCGCAGATTACTGCGGGCGTGGTCCCAACATCAATGGCTTAGCTCCGATACTATGTTGAAACAATAGACTTGGGCCCAATTCAACCCCAAAAGGTAACTCAAGAGGTTGAGGTACCCAAGCTATTAAATAGCAGCACAATATAAGGCTGCATAGCCGATGTGGGATGAACAAGTCAACAGCTAAGCTGAACTTCTTGAATCACCCATGCTCAATCCTTAAGCCCTTATTTGGTTGGAAGAGGGGAGGAGGAAAGTCGAGTTGCGTGTTTCGGTGAAAGGTGCAGAAAGTTAAGGAGCTATACAATCTTCCAAACTCATCATATTTCACTATCTCAGATTGGGGATATATGGGGATTATTTCTTTGGTTTTTTTTACTTCCAAAATAATTTTAAATTAGTATTTTTATACATGTACTTTAATACTCCCTCCGTTTCACAAAACACTTCCGCCCTAATTTTTCGCGCACTCCATAAAGCACTTCGATTCCACCTAAAATATCTAGAATACCCTCAAAACAACTTCTACTTGCAATAAACAACAAATAGAGGTGTATTTTAGACATTTTAAGTGAGGTAGAAGTGTTTAGAGGGTTGCACAAAAAATTAGGGCGGAAGTATTTTGTGAAATGGAGGGAGTATATTTTTAATTATAACAAAAATTATACTCCGTACTAACTTTGCCCCAAACAGACTTCTCAATTCGACTTAATGGTCGTCAATATTCATCTTTTGGTCAATAATATATACAGTTAGAGACTAAAAAAGTTAGACTCTCATCATGGCTCACCCATCTTTTGGCTTTGACCCCTCCCACCCACGCCGCCATGGGCAGGGAGCCTTTGAGGTACTGGGGTAATGTTGTTGTTGTAGACTAATAATATAATTAGAGGAATAAATTACTCCTCCCTTCATCCCAAAGCAAACTTCTTGATTTTACTTTATGAAGCTTAAGAAAAGTGTCTGAAAGTAGAATGTATGAAATGTGAAGTTTATTTCAGAGTGGACGAAAAAAATATGAAGTTTATTTTCTGGACAGAGATTGGATTTTACAAATATATAATTAAAAAAAGGAAATTTTGCTTTAATATTCCCAAATTTTAATAATTCTCTAAATAATACGGAGTATCATTTTTTGTGCCAATCACCCAACAATAATCTAATAGTTGAACCTTGTTTCGAGACAGAGGGAGTATTATATTCTCAATATTTGCGGATTAAGCAAAAACATTATTGGTCCATGAGCAAGTGGTGTGAAGATGGACTACTAGATTTCCATATATTCTTTCTTTGTTCAGATTTTTGTAATTTATTTGAAAGATTTATCATTAGTGTAGTAAGTGGTTATCCATGTCGATATTTGTTTTTTGTGAAATAAACATTTTCAGTAACTCTACAAAGATCAACAAATATAGAGTATGAAAAAATATCTAGACATTACTCAATTTTGGGATTATTTTTTAGTTAATGGCCCACATATGGAATCATTCTAAGAAAATTTGGTTATAGTTTCAAATTACATAATGCCTCACTTCATAAAAATTAAAGGTCAAAGCTATTGAACTTTGACTTGAAAAGTCAAATAATGAAGTTTATCTTGGAATAATTGTGTATCTAAAACTCGTAAAATATTTGCATATTTTTCTAAAATATTCACCATTCACCAATTTCTTGCCAATCTTCTTCATCAAACCAAACATACGGAGCAAATAATAAATTTTTAACCCACGCAGTCCTACCCTACCCTGATATCAAAGTTTGCCTACGATACTGATCTACATATTAATGGTTTTGTCATGCTTTTATAGATGAGTGAATATTCAAAGAAGAATGTGTGTTTTGTCATGTTTGTCGATGAGGGAACTCTTGCTAAGCTGTCAGCAGAAGGAAATGTGGCAGATGAGGGAGGATATATTGGGCTATGGAAAATAGTTACTGTCAAAAACTTACCATACACGGATATGCGTAAAACTGGAAAGGTGCCAAAATTTTTATCTCATCGCCTCTTCCCTTCTTCTAGGTGATTGATGCTCATACCATGGTCACATCTTTCTGGTGGTTTTGTTGTTTTGGAAATGAAATGTGATTTTTTTTAATTATTCTCCACAATCTTTAGGTACTCAATCTGGCTTGACAGCAAGCTGCGGCTTACAACTGATCCGATGCGAATCATTGATCACTTTTTGTGGAAAACTGGGTCAGAATATGCCATTTCTAATCATTATACCCGGCATTGTGTGTGGGAGGAGGTGCTCCAAAACAAGAGACTGAATAAGTACAATCACTCTGCTATTGATGAGCAGTTCAACTTTTATCGGGCTGATGGTCTCGCCAAATTTGACCAATCTGACCCTAATACACCTCTTCCTAGCTGTGAGTGTCTTTTTGTTCGTTTCATAATCTCCCGTCATTTTGCTGCATCGTTGTGAACGAACACCCCTATGTTTTTATGTGTTTTTGCTGCAGACGTGCCAGAAGGTTCATTTATAGTCAGGGCCCACACGCCAATGTCAAATTTGTTTTCGTGCCTTTGGTTCAATGAAGTGGACCGGTTCACGTCACGGGACCAGCTCAGTTTTGCATATACATTCTTGAAACTGAAGAGGATGAACCCAAACAGACCATTCCACCTGCATATGTTCAAGGTGAGAGGTCGACCGGTCTTTCCATCTCCTTCCTTCCTTCACCGATTGTTTATTTTTTGGGGGCGACTAATGAATAAATAATGCAGTTTGCCCATTTTTTCTTAACCTCTACACACTCTAATTTCTTGATTTCTTCAGGACTGCGAGCGTAGGTCACTTGTGAAGCTATTTCACCACAGGACACCTTCGACTCCTCTTCTTCCACGGCGAGCGAACGAATGAATGAAAACAGGTTTGAGAAGCCAGCCAAAGTGACTCCAAGGGTCACTTTGATGATTCAAACACACTCAACACTACTTTTTTAGGGGTTTGATGAGCTTGAGAATCTAATCTTAGGGCCTGCGTGTACGACATTCAGCTTTACGTATTGTACACTGAAAATTAATTTTGGAGTCCTTCTATGCTTATTACCACCTTCATTAATGAAAATAAATACACAAAAAGTTAACCCACCTTCACGAATATTAACCCACCCTTCTTTCAAAAAAAAAAAAAAAAAATTAACCCACACTTCCTGATAGTATTAGTGATAATAATAATAATAGTATTAACAGATGAACTAGCTACTTTAAACTTTAGAGCAAATTAAGATTTTAAATCAAATCTCAAGTATAAGAATATAAATATATATTAATAAACTTATTAACAAATAATATATAAATAAACTTATTAACAAACAAACAGATCAGAGCAGTAAACTTATCCAATCTCAAAATTAAGATTTCGAATCCATCATTGATACATCATCATATGGAGTAGTAATTTACAAACACAAACGACACATATCAACAATTAAGTCTACATCGATCGTGGGTTAAGTAAGGAACTGAGGAGGATATCCGTTACCGTTAGTTCTTTCACAGAGAGTTTTTCCGGCGGTGGCGTTGTCCGGCCGCCGCCATTAAACCGCCACTCTTCGGAGATGGCGAACCGTCATCCCCGCTTCTCTTTAACAAATTCTTCTCACTGAATCTTCTCACATACTTCTTATTGTTATCATTCCTTGTCTTCAAGGTGGTTGTCGTTGGCCGCCACAGCCTCTCTCCCGGACTTCCCGACGAGCCTCCGGCCGCAGGGATCGCGTACCACCCGATTGAAGTGCACAGAATAGCAAAAGCCCTCCCGTAAATTGCGAGGAAGACAAGAATCATCACCAGAGTGAAGGGCATATAAAACCTCGGCTTCCTCAACTCCTCCCACTTCATCTTCTTCCATGAAACACTCTTCGCAAGCTTCTCCTTCCCGCCTTCTTTGGCGGCCGCCGCCATTCGACCACCAGCGTCTCTGTCGTTACCGCGGTCTTCATCTGGTGATCCTGCATCGGAGCTTCTCGTCAACGACGCCGTCCGGTTTTCTCTGTTGTTGATATTACTATTCGCGGCCTTGAGCTTGACGACGATGGGCTTAACGACGTCGTTATTGGAGTCGGAGGAGAAGACGAAGCGGACGATGGAGATTTCGTCGGGGGCGACTTGGGTGTAGATTTTCCGCTTCTGGGATTCGATTTTGGCGAGGAGGGCGGAGAACTTGTCGAGGCCGCGGCCGGCGTAGGGATTGCTCTTACTGTTTCCTTTCTTTGATCTTTTTGGGCTCGACGACTGGGAATCCTGCAAGTAGTCATAGTCGTCGTCTTCCTCGAGTGGATTTGAGCTTAAACAGATAAGTGGGTTGAACATTATATTTGTGAGAATATAATGGATATGGATAATAATGGTATTGATGAAGAGAGATCAGATCAGAGTGGTTTTCCTTTTTTGGGGAGATGAAGAATTGGAAGAGAAATGATGGAGGAAGAGGACGATGGATGGGTACTACTTGTATATATTTAGGGCGTTAGAATTAGATTGATTGAAGACTAGACGAGATGGATGATGAAGAAGACTTTGATGTGTACTCGGTCCCCGTCCCCTAACAAAATGTTACACTTTCATTTTCCTAGCGTTTCAACCCAAATTTTTGACCAAAAAATCAACTAGAGCCTTGAAATGAAAAAACTACTCTCTCTTCTCCTTCACTTTTTACTCGGTCAAACTTTAATCACTTTCTTTACCTATTTTTCATTAGATATTTGATAAAATAATATAGTCTTGTCACCACGTGTTTTGTAAAAACTTTTGATGTAATTTTTAAATATATAAATTTTATTTTTTAATTTTACACCTACAATCAAATAAATTGAAATGAAAATAAAATCGGTCAAATCTCGTAAAATGAACCGGGAAGAACATTATAGAACGGATGGAGTATTAATTTTACAAATGAAACATTGGAGTGTCCTGTGACACTGTAATGGTATTGTACCTAGTTGCTACCGAAGTTATTACTCCTCTGTCTTTGAGTATTTGTTGAGTTCTATTTTTTTCAGTCAAAATTGGTAAATTTTGACCTTAGACTAAATAAAAATGATATTAGATATTGATACAAAATAGTTTTATTATATTTATTATATTAAATATTTTCAAAACATTATTTTATCTAATTAATATACAATATATATTTTATTTAATCATAGATCAAAATTTAAAAATAGTTGAACGAAAAAATTCAAAACTGGACAAATGCTTAAGAAGGTAGGTGATTAATACCATTTTGCTAATAAATGTATGATATCTAACAATTTTCTCTACCCAAACCATTTGTAACAGTTTTTTTTAAAAAAAAAAAAACTCAACAACTTTTTTTCAATTTTTCAATAGTATTTATCCTAAACTTAAACTATCAGATAGTTTATGGGATAAATGTATCCGAGTTTTTGGAATAGTCAAAACTGAAAATGAAGGCGCTTGACAATTACGAAAGTAGAAAAATTATTTAAATTAAAAAAAAATCAGAAAGGAGAAGCTTCTTCTTCTTCCATTGACTTCGTCGCGCGGGTAGCATTTGAATATCAAAATGTGTAGCATAGAAATATGGCTTGGTGAAGGGGTTTCTTTGAATTCGCCAAGTCCACGGTACTCTTTTTGTTTGAGTTCGTCATGTCCCAGGGTATTTGTCCACTTTCATTTTTACACATCATTCAATTCACTTCTTTAATCCATTTTATCTTGTAATTTGTATATTAAAAAATTATAGAAATTATATATTAATAATCTATATATTAAGACAAATCAAACAAAATCACACATGACTATATATAGACTTACACATTGAGAGAATTTGATGAGTCAAAGTGCTTAGATAAACAGTTCCAAAAGTTAGTGGACAAAAACTGGGAGACGGAGGGAGTCTTAATTTATTATTGCGTCCCTAAACACGTGGATGATAACTTTCTTTTGTTTCAAAAACAAAATTTTAATTTTTAATAATTTTTTTAAAGGATTAAGTTGTATGCTTCACATCGATTATATTCTCTTCCTTCTTGATATCAATTTCAATCAAATTATTTTAATTTCCTATAAAAAATAAGAGAAAATTTTATTTCAAGATGAAGAGAGTATTCGTATTAATATATACTCCCTCCATCCCAAAATATAAGCAACATTACGCTAAACGAAGTAATTTTTTGAATTTTTTCAATTCATTTTATTTGAAAAATGATCTACAAATGAAAAATAAAACTTACATATTTAAAAACTACGTCAAAAGTTCTACAAAACAAGTGGTGACAAGAATATTTTATTTTATCAAATAATCAATGAAAGTACAAAAATAAATAAAGTTTGTGGAATTTTTAAATAGTGGAGTGTTGCTTATATTTTGGGACGGAAGAAGTATTACAAAGTACATTATGTAACTGAATTTTTCACACCTTTTCAGGAAGAAGATTGAGGTGTCACCTTTGGGTTTTTATGGTTACTCTCTTTCAGAGAATCAAACTATTTTTTCTTTCTTTACACATTTTCATTTATAACTTAATAAAATAATACTCTCTTCGTCCCAAAAAGTTTGCCACGTTTTGAAAAAATTGCGTCCCTTAAAGTTCGTCTCATTTCTATTAAAAAACTACTTTTACCCCTTAATCTTTCATACACTACCTATCATATATACCTTTTTCCTAATAATTTACCCATCACATCCTACGTTTACCCATCACGTCAAAGGTATTTTTGGAAAGTCAACACTAAAATATCCCTCCTTATTTTACCACTTTAGTCAAAATGTTCCAATCTTTTTGGAACAGAGGTAGTATATTTGAATTCTCCCGAATGGAGAAGCAATGCTACGGGGAGTAGCATTTCACTTTAGCGGTTGGAAAATAGGTTTTAATATATTGGCCTTGTTTGGATATTGGCTATCAGCTGTTGGCTGTTTGTATCGGTTGTTCTAAATTGCTGTTTAATTTAGCTGGTTTGACCGGCAGGGCGAGTTGGCTGATCGTTAAAAATGTTTGGTAAAATTAGCTGTTTGAAAATAGTAGTTTTGATATAAATATAAATAAATAAATAAATATACATACACACACACACACGCATACATACACACACACACACACACGATATTTGTTCTTTATTTTTGTACATGTAAAAATTAAATCGTTAATATGTGGAGTATAAAATTTCATTTTCATATAATTCATGAGAAATTGTTAATATTTAAATTTTTAATGATTTTTACTTTTGATTTTCTCATATCTTTTTTTTTGAAATTTAAAAATTTTAATTTTTTTTAATTTTTGAACTTTTGAACTTTTATTTTTATTTCTTTACATATATTATAAAATATTTTTCAAGAAAAATGAATAAAAAAATATTTTTTTGAAAAGCCAACTTCAAATGCTACTCCCCTTGGTTTTTCAGATAAAAAAGCCAAGTGGAAAAGCCATTAGCCAAATAATGGTTTTGGCGGTTCGATAAGTCAAATAAGCCAATGTTAGTCAAAGATGGCAAAAGCTATCCGAAAAATTGTTTTCCAAACACAGCCAATGTGATGTTGTATAATCTCGGTTCATATTATTTTTTACATTATTGGTATTATAGGTTCTTTCGCGATCTAAACTCTACATGTGAAATGTGAATCTTATTACATTTTTTATGGTTGTAGGCCTAGACTTTTTTTATTATACAAAAGGTCCAATTCTTTTATGTTAGTTATGTCCTTAAGTCCATAAAACAAGCATGGACCTTAACAATCATGTAAGAAATTTTCATTTTGTTTTACTCGATCCCTTTCCATTTCAAAAAATTTGTAAAAATCCAAGGTTATGTTTTTCATTTTCGAGGATAAGAATATGTTTAATTTGGGACCAGAAGAAAAAGAGTATTACTATGTAATTTGACTATATAATGCTAGATTCGCAAACACAATGGTTAAAAATTCACAAACTTATCATTTATAATTTAAATTTTCATTTTAAAAATAATTTAGATTAATTTTTTTTATAGAAGTTAACAAATAGTAAATTTGTGAGATTAGTTACTATTTTGTTAGTGAATGAAACATTTATTATTTGGGATAAGTAATATTTCTAGTATTTTTCGGGTAAATGTCATTATCGATACATAAATAGTCTTCGTTATCTTATTATTGGAATTAGGTAATAGGGAGTAGTAAAATTCTAATCAATGATAGAGATTTGGATCATTCGACCAATTCAATATCTTTAATGTACTCCGTAATATTTTTAAGTATTGTTTCACCTAGAAAATGCAGAAAATTACTCACGGGTGACACGAGTTTTGTTGAAATAACTCTCAGGTCCTTCTATTTTCAAGAAGACAGCAGAGGTCCTTACATTTTGTTGTAATGACTGGAATGAGACATTTCATCCAATATTTCATCTATAAACGTTAATAAATGTATTTTTTTCCTATTCTTTTCTAAATGTTTTAAGGTAATAAATCTTAGGTCGCTCCTTTTTTATTTCTTTGTTTTTCTTTCATTTTGTTACTATTTTTTAAAGTGTTATTTTAGAATTTCTTCTATAAAATTGTATAAAAATTCAAAATTGTTTGTATTATATTAAAACAAATGAAATAAAAAAAATTTAAAAAAAGAAAAAACAAGGTAATGGCAAAATAGGAAAAAACGGTATTGGAAAAATAGGGAAAAAAAATACATTTATTAACACTTACGGATGATGTATTGGATGAAATGTCCCCTCCCAGTCATTACAACAAAATATAAGGACCTCGGTTGTCTTTTTGAAAATAGAGGGACCTGAAAGTTATTTCGACAAAACTCGCGTCACCCGCGAGTAATTTTCTGTAGAAAATGTGATGTGAAACTTATTTGGGGTATCACTTGCTTTCGATATCAAATGAGTTATTTCATTTGTTTATTGATTTCTTTTTCACTTTTTTTTTAATATTTCAAAAAAGTTTTGTGCTAAGTCAAATTGAGACGTAATAGAAAATCTTTACATTTTTAAAATTTTTTTAATCTTCGTGTCAAGTCAAACTGGAAAAGAAATTTTTTGATGAAAGGAATACTTAACCAGATAATCATATTTTCCCAAATATTTGTTCATACTTGCCAATTAAACTTGGGGATTAATTGACCCAAATGACTTGACTGGTACCCGATTTTTTTTACGGTGTACTTTTTAATATTTGATTCTTTTTTTGAGTTTTTTTTTATTTTTTGGGTGTCTTTAATGTTAATCTTATTTTAAAATCTTCAAGGTACTTCAATGAAATAGGAAAAGAACATTATTTTTCATCCAAAAAATAAATACGAATGATTAATAATGTGATTTTTAAAAAAATCAAGTACTACGAAAAATTGGTTAAGTATAAGGTTTTGTAACACTATTAACTCTACATTATAATGTAGTATCTTATTAAATATTATTCTTGTCTCTGAGTATTTGTTCACTTTTAATTTTTTACACTTAAAATTAACAAACTTTAACAACTATTTAAATAAAATTAT